GAAGGGTCTATTGTACCCACATGAGGTTGATAGAGAAGGAAGATTCCAGCATTGATCCAAGAAGAAGGTCTTGAGAGAGTGACCTAGTTTCGGCAACCTGACTCCCAAAGTTCCACCAGTGATGCAAACAGAAACAGTGAAGATAAATTAGAGCACGAATAGGATGATGCAAGGCAAAGAATGGAGGATAAAATCATGACCTTAAGGAACCACCACAGTGGCGAACAACACCACCATGGTTATTGGTGACAGAAGAATGAAGAGGAAAAGGAAGAACGTTGAATGAGATTGGGCTTTGTCACTAATTCTAGAGAAATTTAATGGAAGTGAAAAGGAGAGACAGAGAGATGTAGCTTTATATATATGCCTGCGTTCTTTTGATCTTCAATTTTTTTATTTTATTATTTTTTAGGATATTTTGGTAATTTTGTTGAGCTAAAGAAGAAATAAAATGTCCATAGGAAGTGGAGAAGTGTCGAACCCGCATGTTGAGGATGATTGGCCAACATTTTTTCCATTGAATAGCCAATTTCTCTTTGAATATTGGTTCCATAGGTTAGTAATCATACATTTAGAAATTCATATCATAATTTATGATTCCAATGAAATTCCTAAATTATTACAATCAGAATTTAAATACTCACAACAGATATTACTAAGCCACCATTTCTTCTTGTAGCTTCTACTCCAAAAATTACTAAAATACAAATCAAAATATTTAATTATAATTTTTTTTGCTTAAAACTTTGAGTCATTACATTGTGCACTACAGTGCACCATGCACACGTCGCAACATGTGACACAGAGGCTTTTATACTTATTTTTCTCTACTTTTTGATCACCGAGTGACCTAATTTCACTTTGGACCCAAATTATACCTAAAATTCTGACTAAAAACACTTATTAGTCTCCTCTGACCACACACCATGTAAATCTTATTAATGATGCTTAATTACTTAATTGTTGGAGGTTAAATTTTTGGCACGTTACATAAATTCCCACCCATTACTATCATACAAGTTCAATCAACATATGCGAATCTAAACTCATGCATAGCATAATAATTTATCATCCTCATAATTTTTAGAATTTCATGCTTATCACAATTCACACAACAATATAATTTACAATAGATCGCCATTTGATCAACTCATAGCCAGCCTAGGCCCACAATTCATATTTCAAATACCATATAACATCTATATAAACATAGTCATCAAGCATTTCATCACAAATATGCATGCTTATTACAACTCTTCTAACATAATCAATTACAACTACTCATCATATGAACACATTTATCTTATGGCCAATCTAGGCTTAACATTTCATATATCAATATCACATAGCATTCACATAAATATAATTACTACAAATTTATCACAAAGAGGCATGCTTCTTACCTATGTATTAATTTAAGGCCAAAAAGCCCTACAACAAACTCATATAGTTCAATACATAATATTAATACTAATTCATAATCCACAATTGCAAAACTAATGATATACCATAATTAAATTCTTGACTATGTAGACTCTTGGGTTACTACTAAGAGTAAAACTTGAATTCTGAGAGAGCCTCTGATAAGCCCAAATACTTTCAAAGATAGTCAATCTATAATTTATCATCATCAAACATTATTAAGGACTAATTGTCATTAATTAGCTCTTAATTGTGATTAAGGCTTGAGACACTAATTAGCAATACAACAATAATCAATCCTATTTTCAACTTTCATTAGCTCAAACTTAATCACCATAATCATCATGCCACTTATATATAATTTATCTTGTCTCTATCTCTTCAAATCATCATAAAAATCTCCTTTCAAGCCTAGGGTTTTCGAATTTAAGCATCCCATTACAATAACTATCATCACAATTACCTAAACTAAACTTATTTAACCTCATAATTACTTTAGAATTTGGACCCAGTGATTGGGTACTTACAAAAATGAAAACCTAAGCTTAATCCAAACATAAACTAGCTTGAAGAGAAGATTAGAGAGTAGCAGGAAGATTAGAAGTTTTACCTTGAGTAATTAGGAGCTAGAATTCATATCTTAGTATTAGGAACTCCAAAACTCTAGTAGAACTTTTTAAAAATCATCCTAAACCTCTCAAAAACTCAATTCTATCATTTTGATTTGCAATAGAAAATTTAAGTCTGAAAACGTGCTGTTTGCTGTGACCAAAAATTGCACCTCGCCATAGCCAACGGTACAGTTTCATTGACCTAATTTTAAAAATTCATAATTAATTACACAAATCTCTAAAAATTATGAATTAGGACTTTATAGAAAGTTTGAGATGTCTAATTTCTAATGCAAAAGAATTACTCAAAAATATTAACATTTTCACTTTGAAAGTCTTTGATTACAAAGGAAGTTCATTTCTTATATTCTTCCAAGCCCTAATTGATTATAAATCATTTTTCAATATATTTAAATACCCTTAAACTTTCTTAAAATGTTATTAACTTAATTAACTCGAAGGGTAATAATTTGGAATGTTACACCCTAGACTGGGTGCATTGTAAGACTTTTTGAATCTCTCTAGAGACTTGTGACATCCTTAAAGAATTGGAGGAATCCATGGTTTGAAAGTGAGTGTAGCACCTTTGGCCAAGTGACTTCTCATGACTAGTGAGTTTGAACTAATCCATTCACACGGGCTTAGTCCTATTGAATTGTTAGCTCATGGATTTATTCATTAGTATATAGAAGAGAAGAGGAGTCGGCTGTGAAGAATAAATATTTAGTTTTAAAATATCATTTTAATAAATTCAATAAAACGATTCATTTTAGTATTTAGTTTTTATTTTAATAAATTATTATTTTAACAATTTCATACAGTAAAAAGATTTTATTAGTAGAGCCTATCAAAGTCTGACTTATATTTAATATTGTTTATTTAGCAGTGTAGAGGGTTTGACCACTTCACGTTCAAATTTCCTATACTTCTAAACCTTATATTCATTCTAGTTTACAATTTCTTTAATCAAATACTAGATATCACAAGTTATTGCAAAACATTCTTCTTCTGAATAGAAACCATCAACATTAAACTTCAAGATTCCATATGGTGGAGCTAACCACTGTTGTCGAGGGTACTCCCGGTGGAATCACCATCTAACGTTAATTATGACCCCTTCAGAAATGCACTAACCTGAGCTATAGTTGCCTTTTGCATCGATGCATTTACTCTAAAACACCCATGCATTTCTGTTTAACTACAATTGTCAACATAGATGTATAAACCAAACACACCATTCTACCCCCAGTCTTGTCCCCGTTGCATGAGATTCCAATTGAGCCATTACACCCGAGACTAGATAAAAAAACATTGCACTCATAAGCAACATGGCAATCACACAAAACATGTAAGACATCTTCCTTGACTATATCTATTGATTGTACACATATTAATGTGTGAAATCAAAACTGGCGATTTCTAACGTGAATAACTAAAAGGAGGAGTAGTTTAGGGCAACCAACCCATCTTTTTTTTTTTTTGAACAAAAACTTATTTAACTACTTTTTTAATTTGCATGAATTAGCTATCTAGGACCTATATATAGGATCTGAGAGAGCACTTCAATAATGTACCTGACATTTTTCTAATTTAGGCTATGTCCCTTAAAAGATATTTTAGTTCCTAAATTTCTTAAATTTAAATTTACAAACAGGGTCCTAAATATCAATTGACAATGATTAGCAATACCCTTGTCATCAATATTATCCACATAGCCTATTTTTATTCTTATATTACTTAGTACAAATAATAATTAAATAGTTGAAAATTTTATTTGCACACTGAGGCATACTCAAATGTATGATGTTCAAGTTTAAAAGAGATTTTTTTTTTTAAATTAAGAGAGAGAGAGAGTAAAAATTTTATGGGACAAGATAAGGATATGATAGATGTGAACAGAAGTAAAAAAAATTCAAACCCTCTTAGAGAGAATGTGTGTGATGTTTTTATTTTTATGACAAAGTCATAAACTTGAACTAGAATAGATTAAAAAAATTCAAACTCAAGTTGACATGAATGATAGTTACTCTTGTAATTGGAAGAAATAATTCCCGCCGAAATAAGTAGCTTTGAGAGCTCCTTGGAAAAATACACGAACTCAAAACTATGATCATATTTGTAAATCCACTTTTAATTGGTTTTTGAATACACCTCCCAAAAGTTCAATTGTTTATTTACAAAACAGTCAAACAACATTCCACATTTAAAAAGTAAAATGTTACAGCTCAAGAGTTAAAAGTAGCTAACCAAATAGACCTTATAATAAATACATATTTTATGTTCTAATTTTATATGTTTTATATTATTTAAAAATTCAACGAATAAATTACAATTCAAAAATTTATATTGAAATTTAGAATGAAAGTGATCAAACCACTCTCTCTGGTCTTATTTATAGAACAGAGAGAGAAATTTTTTTTATTTTATTCATAAGTCACGTTATTAAATTTTATCATAAATTTTCTTTTTAACCTTTCATTAAATGTTAGAGATAAAAAATATGTTATTAAAGTGTGTATATTTAATAAAGATAAAGTTAAAAAATTATTAAATTTTAAAACAAAATTAATAAGTTTTGAGGTTTTTTTTATACTAATGAAACATGTTGGAAAATGACTTATAAATAAGATCAAAAGAGTAAAATTTAAAAATTAAGATATACTCTTCAAACTAACCATATCTTTCTATATTTACCCTATTTGATAATGTGTTTCACTTTAAAATATATATAATAATATATATATATATAAAGTAAATTATTTAATAGAGGTACTGTTAAAAAAATAATATTTATATCTTAAAAAAATTAAAAATATTTTATATTTTTTAATATCTAATCCTTTAAAACGGAGAGAATATCGTTTATGCATTAAAAATCTGACCTAAATATCAGGGTAGAAAGCCAAGGAGACGACGTCGTGTGAATCGGCTCAGCGAGGTCAATAAAGTATCTCAAATCTAACCTCTCCCAAGTCTGAACCTTATCATTTATCAAGCAGAGCACGACACAAACACATTGTCTCTCCATTCCTCTCCGCTATCGTCTCCTGATCTCTAATGGCGACACTGCCTTTGTCCTTCTCCCATAAAACCCTAACCCTTCATTCTCACCCTAAAACCTCAGTCTTCAGCACTGTGACCAGTCTTCGATTCGGATGGAGGATTCCGCATTCGAATACAACCCGTGCCCGTGCCCGGACGCTGATTCGGGCGGCCGTCGATGGGGATTATTCGGCGAAGAGGAGCGGTAGCGGTGAACAGAGGGAGACTATTATGCTTCCTGGTTGTGACTACAACCATTGGCTGATTGTGATGGAGTTCCCTAAGGACCCTGCTCCTACTAGGGAACAGATGATTGACACATACCTCAATACTCTCGCCACTGTTCTCGGCAGGTTCGTTCGACCATTTCCTTCTCCTCGACCTTTTATGAATGTCCTCTTCTTTGATTGCGTTATGGAAATATGTGACTTAAGGGCAGGATTTTTTATCTGAGTTGGTCTTCACATGTGAGCTCGTTTGTCATTTGTTTTTCCTGGCGGTTTCTTGAATTTTAGTGTTTGGGTTAATAATGAACAATTTCTGAGATTTGAGTGCCTGACTAGCTATGTTCTTGCACTGTATGAGAGCTGCTAGTTGGGTTGGTTGTGAAAGCTGGAATTAGTGCTAGTTGGTCTGACGTTAGTTGACATACCTTTGTTTCCATTGAGGTAAGAATGGGATTTGGCCTTCATTTTATCTTCATTTTGGCATATGGTGTGTCTCAGGCTCAATAAACCGAGGCACCGTGACTCAATTAATTTTTGAGTGAAATTTTTGAAATAAAGCAGCTGGATTCATGTGAAGAATAGATAAATCATTTTGAAGGATTTATTACTGTTCTTATGGCTAATTATTACCAGGAAATAACTTAGGCAATGTTTGTTATGTGGCTATTTTTCAGCGCACACCATTGACTGTTGAAAAAGGTTTGTGCACGTATTACAATTAGGTGAATCTAATAGCAAACACCTATATTTAACACCTTTTCTCCTGATCGAAATTGATAGAGTTTATGTTCTATATAGTATATAACGACAAGTTACATAGACTTTAGAAATTGGGCTTGTATCTTTTGGTAGTTTTTATCTGTTTTGAGGTGTTTGGGGCAGAAGGCTGAAAAAATGATCTTAAAATGAGGATCGCATACAAAACAAGAAAATAGAGTTTCCGTGAAGGATTAAAAGCAGATGAAAATGTCTATGAATGCGATTTTTGTGAACAATTTACAACAGAAATTTCGGTATCATTCTTATATATACACAAAACAAAACAAACAGTATAGTATGCAAGTATACGCATATCCATTCCATTGTATGAATTTACCCATTTAGAGAACAGTGGAACAGTTATCATGGGCATGATTGCTTATGTGACTTCCGTGCTAAAAAAACATAAACTTTCATGATGGAAGGTTGTATTTCTAATTCTTGTCAGCCTGAGTGTTACTGCTAATTTACTACATCTTGGCGTTTTTGTATCAGCATGGAAGAAGCTAAGAAGAACATGTATGCATTTAGTACCACCACTTACACTGGGTTTCAGTGCACTGTTGATGAAGCAACATCTGAGAAATTTAAGGGTAAAGTCTCATCCTTGGATTGTCTTGTTTATCATTTTTTTAGCGACTTCGGTGCTATTACTTTCATTTTGTCTCACTTGTGCATTTCTGCTTCTAGGTTTGCCTGGGGTTCTTTGGGTGTTGCCAGACTCCTACATAGATGTTAAAAATAAGGACTATGGAGGTAAGTAGTTATTTAGTTCGAAGCCAACTATCTATCTGTTCCATACTGCATCCCGATAATCTTAAGGCTATGTTTAAATGCTTAATGTTAATTTTAGGGGACAAGTATATAAATGGTGAGATCATTCCATGCAAGTACCCTACTTATCAACCAAAACGTAGTGGATCAAGAAGTGAGAGTAGAAGGTATGAGAGAAGGAGAGATGGCCCACCACCAGAACGCAGAAGACCAAGGCAAGAGGCAGCTAGCTCAGAATGAGACTCTAAGCGCTCTACACGAGGTACTGCTTTTCTGTTCTACAGTCCTCTGTTTGGTTAGTTACTTCTTGCGACGGATAACTAAATCAAATTGATAGCTAAAATGAATGCTGCAGTTTGCATCTTTGTTTGATATCCTATATTACAGGAAGCTTTCATGTTTTTTATTTCGTTGTTATTATTCAAGATTTTAAATCAAGAGCTGCTGCTGCAATTAGTTCTTCTTGTTGTTGTTGCAGGTCAACAATTTTGTTAAAATGGTAAACCCAAATGAAATTTGCTGAGAGTGGGCTTTTATCATACATCTTTCCTGCATCACGTGCCGCTCATATGCATAACTATGTTGGGAGTCCCTTGAGATGCCTTGTGTTCTTTCAAGCTTTGTGAGTAGCTTCAGGAGTTATCTTGACAGATTTGGTTTTAGACAGTGTGATATGAATGGGGCATGTTCAGTTAGTATCTGTCAGAATATGAAATTCATTATCACCAGCCAATTTGTGTAAGAACTAAAAGTGTATTATATCCAGCTTTATGGGTGTTTTAAGAACTTAGAGTGACTGATTGAAACTGTGAAATTAATGGGCCTGTCCCATATAGCCAAATATTCATCCCTGGATTATTAAACTTAGGATTTGGATTCAATAAGAGGCAAATTTGGTTAGGGGTGAGTATAATCAAATCAAAATTAAATAGCAAATTGAATTAAATCAAATTTTGTCTATTCTAGTTTATTTGGTGTTTTGTTTAAGGAACATATTGGTTGATCAATTCAATTCGATTAGTAAAGTTTAAAATTGAATAGATCAAACTAACTAAATAATTATATATATATATATATATAGTTTGATAATTACTTTATTTTATTATATTCTTTTTAATTTTATACTTAAAAAATAAATAAACTAAATAAGATAAAACCCTAATCCTTACTCCTCCTGTTTGTACTTCCTTTTATTTGTTCTCCCCTTGCTCAATGACCTCCCTCCCTTGCTCTTTAGCTTTCTTTAGTGTTCACCCCTCTGTAGTTGACATTTACTCTTAATGTTATCGACAAGTCCCTTCCTCCAGGTCATCGTGATCTCTTGCGCCCTTGCCAACGTGATCTCCTTCTCCAATACTATTGATCCCTGTTAGTTTAATGATGATTAACTCACCACATCTCTCGCTTCTTGTAGACTCTGCTCCATCCATCTTGCCCATCTCTTTTTCATCAAGTTGTTGTGCTTCAACTCTAGACTTTACTGCCTTTACAACTCTTTGATCTGTCATTTGGGCTTTTGTTATGGGTTTCTTTGTACCTGGCTGATTTTTTTTATTCTACTTTTTTGTGTTTGAATGTTTTGGGTTTTTCAAGTCTTGATTGTCACCTTTGATTTCTTCAATTTCTGAATGCGTTGTAATAGTGACTTGTTGAATATCTTTCTTTTTGAATGCTTTGCAATTTTTGAATGTTTTGTTAATTTTATGCGGTTAGATGCACTAAATTAGAGCCTATTAACTGAATAGACCAAACAAAGCGAATAATTGTAAACCAATTTTGTTTTATTTTGGTTTAATCAAGCATTTCAATTCGATTGGGTCCAAACATTTTATATAATTCGGTTAAAGATTTTTGAAAAATTTAGCACCAAACTGAACCAATGCTCACCCCTAAATTTAGCTAGAAATTGTAGGAGTCTATTGCAGTAATCTATTTGCAGCTTACAAATTTTTTTTTTTTAAAAAAATTGTGTGCTTTGGTTTATGCAATTTGGCGTATGTGTTTAATTGTGAATGAATGGCCATAATGGGCTCATGCTGCCCCTTGCCTCTCACGGAATCCAAGTCCTTTCACATCACTGAATTTTTGTTCTCGCTCATAACTTTTTTTTTTTTGGACCTGGCGCTTTCATTACATTTAATGCTGGTAATTTAGTATAGTGAAGCTATCAATTCGGGCTCGTGGAAAATCTATAAATTTTAGTTGGTTCTGTAAATATACGAACAATTGATTTGTTTTTTCACACTTGTGGCTAAAAATACTTGAATTTTAATTTGTGAGCGCAAGTTGACACTAATTTTCTCTATTTCATACCAGTTTTTTGTGACAAGAAAAAATTGCCCAGGCTTTCGTGTCTCAATTTTTTAATTTAATCATCAAACACTTTTTGAAATTTTGATCTATCATGTAAAACATTATAACGTAGCCTCCCAAAGATTAGTTCATTTCCTCTCTCTCTCTCTCTCTCTCTCTCTCTCTCTATATATATATATATATATATATTCGTATCCCAACTACTAGCATAAATCGAATTTTATGATAACTAAAAAGATGAAAGCTTAGTTTGACATGTATTAGGAATGCAAATAAATTACTCTTCCACCTTCATTTCTGAACAATCTTACGTGAAATTCAAATTATTCATGTTTTTAATTAAGGTTGGTCTAGTTAGTAAGAAGTTAACCCATAACTTATAAGATTGTGGGATCAAATCCCATTATTGATATAAGAATCTTATTGGTGAATAATCTATAAGTACATCTATAAACTTGTTTGAGCCTGAAAGCATGTCCTGATCTCGGTAAGTTTATAGGTTAACTCACCTAAATTTTAATTCACCAAAAAAAAAAATTCATATGTCTTATAAGGATTAATGAGTATCTTGAATCCTGAACTCTTAAAACGAGAAAAAACTTTCCTTAACTTATACATTTTGAATAAATTACCTCCTACTGTCAAGTTACATATAATTGTTGTTATTTTTAACTTTGTGGAGTTTAGTTAAAAGTTGATGTGATACTAATCCCCCTTGACATGTGACATACTAGCCTGGCTACATAACGGATAAATGGTGTGAGATAATATGCTCAAACTTTATAAGTTGAGAATCGTTTTTGCTCATTTTAAAAGTTTAAGATTCAAAATGTTATTTAAGTAATAGTTTAAGATCTAGGATGCTCATTAACCCTTTTCATAATGTGCCAAATACAATAATAAAAGCTTCCATAAGAAGTTTAGTATCTAAGAGGAGTTTGGAGACCAATGTTGGGATAAGAAAAAAATGCTGATATTTATTGGGATAACACAATAAGTAGTACAATATATTCTTGATAATTTAAAAAACATTTAAGTCTATTTATACTAAACTTCGCAACACAACACCCTTATTTTAATCTTATTATATGCTCCTTCGTTTTAAAAAATATTCTTTAAATTTCTCTTAATAAAATTAGAGCTTATTTTCATAAAACAAACTCAATTCCTGCACGTGCTAAAAATAAATTACGAGGACATTTCAGTTTACATTTTTTAGTTTCAGAAATAACCATTATGTCTAATTAACTTTTTTTAGAACTATGTAAATTGATTAAAATTTGCTTACCTTTGAATACTTATTTAATGATACTTTAAATATTTTATCCTTAAAAGCATTGAAGTATTGGTAGTGACAATTTTTAATCGGTGTGCAGTAAATGAGGGGCAAATTTAGTAAAATACTATATCATATTTTAACATTTTAATTAATTACATCTTTTAATCTATGTGAAATACCCTTAAAAGGCAATTATTTTGAAAGAGAGTTAGTATTATATTTATGAATCAAATTCTAGATTACAATCATATTGCTTGATGCTTAAATCACACATTGCCAAATGAAGCACGCTTTTCTAAAAGTCACGAATAATCATAGAAGATACCAATTCACAAATTTCAGAGAAACCTATCTCCCGCTTGCTACGTATGAATGAATAGGCGGCAGGGAAAGGGAAAGGGAATTGGAAATGAATTTCTGTGTGCATAATTGTTTGCTTGTTTGGTATGCAACAATCAAGTTTTCAATGGAATTAGATGTGGAATTATATGTTTTGATTATTACAAAACTAAGATAAAAGGTGTGTCTTATGTGTGCAAATACATAAAGATTCATGGATGAAGATAAAATCTAAAGAATATGAAGAATCAAGAGAAAAAAAAATTATAAGATAAGTTATTTATTTTTCTTTAGATTTAATGTGAAAACTTCAAAAGCTTAATTACATTTATCAATCTTTAAAGTGAATGCATCATCTTAAGTTCATAAGTTTTATTTGTGCATATTAGGACTTATTTTAGTCAATTCAAGCTTAAATTAGATCATAGAAGTTGAGCTTTTCTCTTCTGATGATTCATGTGTGATTCAGTATGGTCCCACGCATGATTTGTTGCCTTAGGCGCACTAATTGACGTTTCATGCCTGAAGCAGCAATAATCCATGTGTAATCAATCACCTATGTTTGTGTGATGCTTTGATAAAGTTTCTGTATTTCAATTCATGCAAGTTACACCTTAGGCACATTAACTAACATTCCATGCTTGAATTAGCAGTGATCCATACATGATTTATCACTTGTATTTGTATAATGCCTTGATAAAGCTTCTGTACTCCAATTCACACAAATTAACCTTGTGTATGCATGCTTGAATTGTCACTTTGTATTTCCTTGCATATTGTGAAGTGTCATTGTATGCCTGAAATGGAATATATTCACACGTGTTTTGTCACTTAGTCTTTTTAACAAATTTAGCCTAAGTTAATTCTAAGTCATTTCAAGCCTGTTTCATCTCGTACACTTGTGTAATTTGTCACTTATTGTTCTAAATCTTTTCAATCATGCAATCTATGCTTGAATGCATGAGTACCACATGTGATATGTTTCTCGGAATGGCCTAGTTTTGTACCTATCCATTTCATGCATGTGTGGTAGAGTGTTTTACGCATGATCTATCTTTCCGAATGGATTGAGTTTTGTAACTAGCCATTCCATGTGTGATAGTGAGTTGGTCCAACGCGTGGTTCGTCACACAAAATTAGCTTTGGCATTCTGCCAACCAATTCATGCATGAAAACCTATAGGCTGTATGCTTGTTTTGTCACACAAAATTGTTTGCATATTCTTTTCCTTCAAAACACGCGTGAGTCACCATGGTGTTTACGTTTGAATTGTCACATATGCATGTTTGGAACATGGTTAGCTTCATTTCAAGTGTGAATCGTCTGGTTGCATGTAAGAAATGTTACCAACAGCTTTGCTTCATTAAACAATCTGAAATCTTGACAAACTATTTTTCAAGTGATTTATAACAATTTGCTGAGTATAGCAAAGTTGGATTGTTTGTATAAGACTAGTCAAGTCTTGTGAGTTGTATTGAAGTTGCAAGCACCTATTTAAACTTGTGGTTTTAGTTGAAAATCTCAAGTATAATCTTAAGGACTAGACGTAGGCTAAGTTTTGGATTGAATCAGGATAAATCTCTTATGTCTATTCTCTGAACTTCTTGCATCTATTTTCTTCTCCTTCAAGTTTTCTAGAAAAATAAACACTTAATTCACCTCTTATTTTAGGTGTCAGCCTATCCAACATTAAATTCCACTAAAATTAGAACCGGTAATTTGGGCTAAGTCTTATAAGCTAGTCTGAATAAACTCAAAAAATATTAAGAATAGGCTTGGATGTTTAGAAAATTTTATTTACTTTAGGCTTACTTGGATTGCCTAAACAAGCTCGAAAAAATCTGGACCAAGCCAAAACTTAAATGAGTTTAGCCCATATACCTAAATTTTTTTATTATTAATAAAATGAAATTAATCTTTACTTCATCTTTCACTTGGTACTCACAAACACTCTCCCATACTCTAATAACTATTTGTTTTAAATATTTTTTAAAAATATTAAAACACAAGATTTTATTTCATGTGCTATTATTTTTACTTTTCAATGCTTGGTCTCATTGTAATAAAGGTAGAAAAGAAAAAGGAAAAATGATAATAAAATCTCTCAAATTATAGAACTAACAATTTGGTCCCTAAAAATGTTGTAATTTTACTAAAGTCTTTAAATATTTCTATGTTAATAAATTTTAAATTAAAAAGACCATTTTACCCTTATTGACAAGTTATAATTTTTTGTTCAATTCTTATGATTCTTTGAATAAAAGATGTTATTCCTTAAACAAAAATTATAATTGGGGCTTGTTTTGTTATTTGAAGATTTATTTTTTAATAATAAAAATTAACTTGACAAGTTGTAATTTCTTATTCAACTTTTACGATTCATAGAATAAAAATTATTATTCCTTACTCAAATGTTGTGATTAGGATTTATTATTTTGAGACTTATTTTTAAATAACATAAATTATATGTGGAAAATTGTGACTTCATGTTCAACTCGTGTGATTTATAAAATAAAAGTTATTGGAGTTTATTATTCTCAATAAAGGTAAAATAATCTTTTCACTTTAAAATTTATTGACATAGAAGTCTCTAGAGACTTCAGTAGAATTATGACATTTTGATAGATCATATTATCATTTATTTAATTTGAAAGGATTTTATTGTCATTTTTTCAAAGAAAAAGGCATGTGATAATTGCATGTTGGTTGAAAAATGTTAATTTCTCAAGGTAAAAATTAAAAATAACTCAAAAAATAATAATAATTCTCGTTGGGCTTGACTATATGGGAGGCGTTAAGATATTAGGATTGGGCTTGACTATATGAGAGGGGCTAAGATATTACAATTGAGCTTGACTATATGAACTTTTTTTATATATTTAGATATTTTAAGCTTGATTTGAATAATTTTGGCCTATATTGAGTTCAGCCCAAATAAACTATACTCACTCGAATTATCAGCTCTATCCAAAATGAGTGGAATCTAATCATTTAGACCAATATGGCCTTGATGCAAAACTTGCTTTTAAAACAATTCATTTCTTTTCTCATTCCGGCTTTACTTCATTTTCCTATTCTAATTTTTTTAAAAAAAAACTACTTTAATCATACTAAACATGGTATAATATCTAATTTAATTTATTGTCTCCAACAAATGAAAGCCTCATTGAGGTAATAAGGTTCGAGTTGATTAGGCTTGGTGGATGGGTCATAGAAGGGTAGAGGGAAATGGACTCTTTGATAGTAGTCCAAGGCGCAAGGCATAATGATATTGATTAATTATTTATGATGAGGATATATTCGTAAATTAAATATTTTTGTATCCAATATGATTATGATTTTTAAATCCTTTTTAATAAATATTAGTTTATTGATGTCCTTTATTATTTTTTCTTTTTTATTTAACTAATTTAATTTAAATTTCTTACTTGTAAATATTTCCTTTGGTCCTCAATGTAAGATAAAGTTTAAAATTTTTTCTCCTTAATATAAGAAAAGTTAGATTAATTAATGTTTTTTTTATTTTACCACTTGTTTATTTAGTGTTAGATGAATCCCTAGAATACAATTTATTATTGTTATTAATTGTAAAATCAGATAAAATTGAAAAGTTAAATATTTTAAAAACTTTTAAACATAAAACTATATTTCTTAATAAATGTGAAGTTAGTTATCTTCATTTTATATTAAAGACAAGAGTAGTACTTTGTAAGTATTCTTTGAACTTTTTTATTTGAATATAAGGTCACAAGAAAAACCATACAAGGAGACTAAAATTTAGTTATGTTTAAAACCATAAAACTTCTATAGTTGGGGGAGGGTTATCAAAGATAAAAATGTCAAAATCTTCACATGATGTCTTTTGAGCTAATAGATCAGGGCACTATAGTTGTGGTTAAAAGTAACTACTTAGTCTTTTATGGTGAGATTTTTGATATTTTTGGTAATTGTAGAGAGGAGATAGTTATCTTAATAGCTACAACTATCAATAAATGATAAAGCCTCCATGAAATTTGAATAAACATTAATTTTAAATAATTTTACATTCCAACAAAAATTAAAGCCTTACGAAATTTCAAAAGATTCTTGAATATTCTTTATATTTTGAGACATGTCTTACTTCTCAAGAATCTTGAGACTCAACTCGCTTACACTTTCATATATCAAAAAAATAATTTAAATTTCATTTATATTATTCATTACTTGCATTTTTACAAATTTGTTTGAATAGTTTTAAAAAAGTAATGATTAAATTGAAAGAAAAATAATTAAATTTAATATAGAATGAATGAAATTTAAAAAATTCCAATAAGTATCATTAACTGCGCAAAATTCCTGGTTAATGAAGAAATCAATGAATGCATGTGTTGGCATTATAGGACACGCAATTACGTTATCCACTTATAAACCTTCCCTTTTATCCAACCTCAATTATTTTCTTTCTTCCTTTCGTGAAATACTAAGGGGGAAAAAAAAGCTACATGGCCACAGCAACTTTTTGAAACTCAATTATAGTATGAAAAACTGGATTAACTTATCCGATTAAACTGTTAAACTAATATCTTGACTTGTAATAAAAAGACTGATTTGATACGGTTTAATTACAACTCAATATATTGACCAGTTTAATAACTAATTTAATTTTGAATATCTTGAACTTAAGTGATTAGAGTGAGGGTGACTAATAAGTTTTGATCCTAATTGAAAGGACTGTGGTTGTTAAAGCATGAAACCTTAAAATTAGATATATGTATATACGACTTTCAATTAGACCTAATAATGTTTAAATCTAATCTCATACTTAATATCAAGGGTGAAATAATTATTGGGGTAAAGAATGCTTTGTTCATCCGTATATTATATGAAGGTTTATATAGAACAAAATAAAATATCTTAAAAAATTTCAAATCAATCTACAATAATTATAATAAATGCTATATGTACAAAACAAGAAATTACAAAAATCCTAATAAGATCATGTTCTCATAGAATAATTCTTAGAGATGAATTATTTAATTAAAAACTCAAGAATAATTCTCACAGAAATAAATCACTGGACAAAAAATTCTAAATGATTTTTAAAAAAATAAATCACAAGGCAAAAGGCTTAGAATCGAACTAATTTTGGGACAACTGAATTGCAAAAACAAGGAAAAATTATAAACCTAGTTTTGATATTATTTGAGATTTGATAATACCCCAAGGAAAAATTGGAGGGAGGTACAAAAGTTTATAGAGCAATAAGCAAACAAAAAGAAATAATTTACCTAATTTACCTATTTTGTTTTTCAATCCAAAAAGAATAAAAAATGAACAAACCCAAAAAAAAAAAATCAAATAATAATTGGTGTCTAGAAATTTCGACGCATCATCACATAGGTTTAGGTTCATGCTGGAAAGAGTATAAAAGCAGCGCAATCATAGTAATGCAGCTTAAGGCCAAAGCGCCAAAAGACAAGATCAAGACATTCAAATCTTTGTTTCTTAAAATAAAATCATAATCACAAATCGTAAAGGCAAAGTTGTGTTCAACAACAAATACCATTCTTATATAATTAATTCATTAAAAATACAACGTAGTTTACTTTGTTCCAACTTTATATATTCAAATTCCTTTGTCTTATTCTACGGTTAGATTCTTTTTCATCACTTAATGCCGTACGATGTTTCAAGAAATAGCTGGTAATACAAAAATTAAAAATCTAACGTTGAAGTAAAGTCAAATTTACGGAACTTTATTTTAACGTAGTCTCTTCAACAATTGAGCTCACTGATAATCATTTATCTATTATATTAAAAGGAAAAAATTTTAAAAACTAATAAGTATAAATTTATGAAGTGATACATTCAGAAACAGAGTAACATAATAAATGAAATTAGCAACTACATAGGATGGGATATACAAAATTTAAGGGGTTGTTACAGATATAACCCATGTTATAAAATTAAATAAAATATATAATGTAACATTTATTATATTTTATATTATCGCTAGTTTATCATATTTGTCATTGATATATCGATAAATTCCTCATAACTTTTCAAATTTTCAATGATAAACCAACTATATTTTTAAATTTTTAAAAATTTATTTCATATTTTTTGGGTAAAGGATTTTTTTTTTGTTAGTGGACTAATTTATCCAAATTTAAACACAAAAAATGCATTTTTTATTTTTATCTATATACTTTTATTTTTTCCAAATGTTAGATATATAATAATAATTGTATAATTTACTTATATCAAAGACAATTGATATATTTATTAACAATTAATAAATCTATATATAATATAAAATTATTAACAAATCGTATTGTTTATGTTATTGAATGCCTGTAACTTGTCTCAAACTTTATTAATAAATCTATATATTATTTAGTTTGATTCTTACTTGCAATTCTGGAACTTTTAAGGGTGATTTGGTCATTTCATACACCTCCATGCCAGTCCGGAACCTTGAAATTTTACCAACAATCCCCCCTGTTTCCCACTTTTTGTGTTCTAAAACGCATACACAGTATTCAAACTCCAAACCTTAAAGCCAATCGAAAACCTCACTTTAAACCTCAATCACCACCCACTTTCCCCTCTCTCTCTCCCTCCCTCCCCGTCTTCGACTTCATCTCTGCTTAATTTCTTCACAATGCCTGCAAAACCCAGATCTTTTCTTCTCACCATGTTTCTTCTTGTTCTTCTTCCTTACACAATTTCGTCTTCTTCTTCTTCTATGCATGACCTTCTTCGGAACTATGGCTTACCATCTGGACTATTCCCAGAAAGCGTCAAGTCCTACAAATTCGACGAAACGGGGCGTTTAGAGGTTCATCTAGATCGTCCATGCATGGCCAAGTTTGAGAACAGAGTGTTCTTTGAAAGTGTGGTGAGAGCCAACCTCAGCTTCGGACAGCTTAAGGGGTTAGAAGGTCTCTCACAGGAAGAGCTTTTCTTGTGGCTTCCTGTGAAGGATATTATAGTCAATGATCCTTCGTCTGGTCTCATTCTCTTTGATATTGGCCTCGCTTTTAAACAATTCTCTTTGTCCCTCTTTGAAGATCCCCCCATTTGCAGATCTCAAGGTAAAAATCCATCTTTCTCTGTGTTTGTTTTGAATTTTTATGCTAGTGAGCTATGTTTCCAGTTCTGCGGTTTGGTTGAACATTTTCTTCGCATTCTGTGATTTTTACTGGCTGGCAAACAATGGCTTGGCTGCTCGGTTACTTTTCCTTCTGTGTTTGTTTTAAATTTTTAAGCTAGTGAGTTATGTTTTCAGTTCTGGGTTTTGGCTGAACATTTTCTTCTCATTCCATGATTTTTCTGACTACCAAGCAGTGGTTTGGCTGCTGGGTTACTTTTCCTTCTCTATGTTTGTTTTGAATTTTTAAGCTAGTGAGCTATGTTTTCAGTTCTGGGCTTTGGTTAGACAATTTCCTTCTCATTTTCCTGGTTGCCAAACAGTGGCTAAGCTGTTACTTTCCTTTTGTTCGGTCTCCTTCTGCTACTGATCCGAATTGTATTTGTGAAATTCTGTTCTGAATGTGACATGCAGGCAATTTCTTCAGAAGAAAGAGCATTGGATTCCAAGATCAGAGATGAAAGTTTGTTTGTTCATTTCAATAAAATTATTTTCTTTTTTCCTTCTTTCTTTGTTTTTTGTTTTGTTTTGGCTTCTTATTAGTAATTTCATGGAGTAAAGTGGATATAGATCTAATTAGGTTTGTGAGTGTGTAAGGAAACGGCTGAGAGGAAAACAAAAATCTTCCTGCAATTTTGTTTCTTGTTTTTTATTCTGATCTGATCTTCGAGGAATGCTACTTCTTTTATATTATCTTTTCTCTATTCTCTCACTCTCTCTCTATATATATACATACATACATACATACATACATATATATATATAGATTCAATCCCTTTACCTTTTTACTGCAAAAAATGTACTCTTGATCATACTGCTATATATGAACTAATGTATTCTTATATATAAATTTCTGCTTCATTCAAAACTGATGTATGTTATGTTCCTCTTAAATTCTACTTCTAATTCAAACTCAGAGAGAAGAGGTAACAAAAAAGAATCGAACTCATGAGATACTAACTGAGAATACTATATAGTCCTAATAACATCAAGCATTAACTCCTGAGTTTCCTTTGCTCCAATCCTTTCACCATTGTTTTCCTGAACAATTATTTCACACAAAATCAGTTTCTGAAATGTATACATATATATATATATATATATGTAAGAGTAATATGATAAGATGAATCAGTTATGATGGATTTACCTGAATGGAGGTGGTGATGAGGAAAGCTCCTTTTATGGTGGTGACATTGATGTCTAAGAGATCGATGCCAAGAGAATTCATGGCTTCAATCAATTTCTTCACTCTTCCTCTTCTCTGCTCAATGATGATCTTCATCCACAGCTTGTTCACATCAATTTGAGTCACCTTCACCTCTACCTATGCATCAAAATCACTGAATCATTGCACAGAAAAAAAAGGAAATGATTTGATGAAGTTCATAATCAGAGCTTGGAATTCTGCAGATAGATAAACCTGAGTACCACATTTCTTCATGTCTTCCTCCTCCTCTTCCTCCTCCGATTCATCTATTTTCAGCTGATTTTCTGTTTTCAGGGGCTGCGAATTCGCCTTTGCTTCCATTGTTTGAAGCTCCTGAGTGAGACTCTCCACCTGGGTTTGCATTTTCTTGATGTAGGTGATGGCATCATCAATTATGCAAGCTCTGGTCATCTAAAAAAAAAAAAAAGAAAAAAGAAAATCATCAGATTGTTTAGAATCAGTAATCAAAAGCCAAATCATTGTAGAGAAGAAACAATTAGGGTTTGGTTGTTGCATTTGTGATGATTGGGACTAAAGATCGCAGCATCAAGAGTCTACTGCTGAGCTTCTCTCTCCTCTTCCTCTCAGTCTGGAGGTTCTTGGATTTGAATCTTGTGCCATCGTCATTTTCTTCATCATCATGATTATTATTATTATCATTATCTCCATATCTTCTCTTCCGGATCATGCTTCTTCTGATGCTGCCTCCTTCGTTGTTGTTAAGGTCACAAAAATCTTCAAAAGTAGTACAGAACCCATTCTCTTCTGCATAATCCATATTTGCTGAGAATAATGGATATGAGCAGAAGGGAATGGAGATGGAGGAGGAGGAAGAGGAAGCAAGAAAACTTGTAAATTGAAGAGTGATTGGAACCTATATAAGTAGTTAAGTACTTCTCACAAAAGCATCATGTCACAGAGAGAGAGAGACAGTGAGTTTGTTATGAGAAGAGGGGGGGGGGGGAGAGAGAGTCTAGATTGGCCATTCTATTGTGGTTGCAACATGCTGGAATATTTCATAACAGAATCAAAGTTTTGTTATAAATATGGTTATTCTGTTATAAGATGTTATTACACTGAATTTGATTGAGAGTTTTATTTTTTTGGACTATTAATATTTTTTATTAAAATAAATATATCAGTAATACAGGTATATATATATATATATATATATTGGGTAGAGTGGCAAAAGATATTTATTAAAATCTGAGATTAACTAGCAGACATTGGTTCTAGTAGGATGGGTTTGTTTAAACATGAGGTCTTAAGTTTAAATTCATATTAAAGCAGATGTATTTGGCAAAATCATCCTTAATTAGTCTCAACAATGCTAGAACATAATTTAATTTTATTGTTAGATACCAAAAAAAAAAGTTGAGATTAAATATGGTCAAGTCATATAAATGAAAGTGGTTGGTCTTTCTCTTTTTCTGAAAATTTTGTTTTCCCTTACAAACACAATTAGTTGTTATTAAGCATTGTTAGGTGGGTCTAATTAGCAGAGCTTTCTCAACTCTTTCTCTATTTTAACATTATTCTGAAACATTTTAAGAAATTGCATTTTTTTAAAAAAATCGTATTTTTTAAAAAATTCAAATTGAATTTTCAATTCAGAATTCAGTTGATAAAAAAAAGAATTAAACCTCTCATAATATAACAAAAAGAAAAGAACTACCAAATGTTAGAGAAATTACAAAAATGTTTTAATAAAAAAAATAAACTTTATTCTGTATTTTTGGTTTGATTCCTTGGAGTACTTTGGCAGTCGGTCTTGTTGACTGCAATAGCACAAATGGGCGAGGTGGTTGGAGAAGCAGAAATGTCAGGCTTCTTTTTGTTTCTTTCTCCTTTTTTTGTTTTTTTTCCCCAAAACTTAAAATAGATTTTGTGTACTAAAACACATTAATATAGAGTTCAAAGTAAATCACATTATACATAATCATATTTTTATATTATATTTTTTTGTATTAGGCTGAATAATGAAGTATTAAAAATTAAAAAATATTACATAAAGTTACATAAAGTTACTTAAGAGTTCAAACTTATATGATGTACTTAGAAAGGGGAAAATGACAAAGAGGTTTTAAAGGGATCAATTAATTTAAATTAAATTTCCAGTGTTAAGCTTTAAAAATTTGTAACTTAATATTTCAATTTTTTAAATGTATTGTGATGAATTTATAACTTGTTTTTTAAATTTTAATATGATTGAAGAATAAAAAAAATTATTTTTTATTAAAATTTAAAATAAAAGTTACAAATTCATTATAATAGAGTTGTAAAATTATAAAATCAATACATAAATATCCATTTGTTATATTATAGAATATGAAAAATTGTCTAGCTCTTCATTTTGATGTGTTACGTTGAAATGGGCATAGTGATTAAAGAACATAATTATGCAGCCACAAAATGTAACATTTTCTTGTAACTTTTCGTTTTCAAATCAGATATATAACTAATTTAGATATTAATTTCACGTTCATTGGTACATATGGATATGTAATGATTACACGAATATTTAAAAGGCGAGCAAAGGGAAGCAAGAAAAAGGACACCATGAACAATGAAGATATGCTGTTTGGTTTGGCAGAGCAGAACAGCATCGGAGAAAGGACATTTCTTCTATGAAGCCCAATTAGTATATTTAAGACGGCTTATGTTGGTGCACTCTTTACTTAGTTGTAAGAATAACTAAAAGATTGTGTGTGTGTTCGTGTGTATAAAAGAATGAGTAAAATATTTTTTTTTTTTTGGTTTTTGTTTTGGTGAATGCAAAAACATCTGCCAATAATTAAATCAGGTAAAGTTCGAATATGATTGCGTGATATAGCCATATAAAAAAAAATAACTATAAGATGTTTATACAAATGTCCCAAATGAATCTATATATAACAGAAATCTATTCCAAAAAGAGAGTCATTATGTACAGTAATGTCACACCTTAAAAATGAGAGTAGCTGGCACTGGATATGTATCAAAACACACATATCTTAAACCTCAATGTAAGAAATTTTTTCATTTTTTTTCAAGTGTATGTAAATATTTTTTCACAACAACAAAGAATTTAAACTTTTTGTAAAAATATTAACAGAACCTCTTGTATAAAATAATCTTGAGCAACCTAATAGAAATGGGCTAAATCATGAGGATGATGCACAAATTAATCATAAGGTTTTAGGGTAACATCAACCTAGGGAAGATAGGAGCATAAAAAAACTCACTACTCCTAATTGAAATGCCAATCCTTATGGTATTATTTTTGTGCCTCCACATCATGTTTCTTTTGACATGAAAAACTATTTGATTAATGCACTTTCTAAATTTCATGGTTTGCTAGTTAAAGATCCACATCACTTCTTGCACACACTCTACCTTGTGTGACATTATAAAGAAAGGTATATAAAACCGAACCGGTCATTGAACCGATCACGACACTAGGTCACGAGTTAGTAGTTCAACTGGAGGTTGAACCGGTGACAAACCGGTCATGATTAAAATAATACAATTTAAATAAAAAGATATTAATTATAAAAAAGTCAATCAAATCCAACCACTCAAAAGTTCAATAATAACAAAATACAAAACTTTAAATATCAATCCTTAATTCCTGACAATTATAACCCTTCAATCATTAAAAAGTCTAAAAGTCTAAAACTATATTCATTAACACCAAAATCATCATTAACCTCATTCAAATCTCCGGGCATTGAGACATTAGGAGTTGAATGAGAAAAACCAGAACCACTAGCAACATCAGGCAAAGGTGGGGACTCTAGAACATTCATATATTCATCACCTACAATAAACAAAAATTAATACTAATGCATGGCATTTTAAAAAAGAAATTCATATACTTGTATTAGACATGATGGTAGATTTAATAAACCTTCATAATCCCTCTCAAGGGTTGATGGAGTAGCTATGGTTTCATTGTGAATGGCACTTTCAAGATTTGCAACATCTTGAGAATCAAACTCAAGAGCTGGCTCTTCCTCTTCTTCAGCCACCCAAAAGTCAACTTTGTCAATTGATTTATAATCAATGGGATCATAACTTTTATTTTTCCTCAATTGACTCCTTGAAAAAAAATAAAGCAATTAAATATGATAAACAATAATAAAAATACAGCATTACTAAAAGTTGCTTTAGATTATGTAAAAGTTGCATGAAACTAAGATGCGTGCAAAACATGTGAATATGTACATGCACATGTAATCCCTTCCCCGTGTATCATGCATTTTGAATTTGTTATGCTACCCATCTCCCCATAATAGCACATAAAACCACATATTAAATTTTAAGATAACAATAATCTATCCATGCCATTAAAAATAAACACATTCAACTTTTTTTTTTTATGAAATGTTTAGATGATGCTTAATTACATCAATCGATGTAGTTGAAATGGAGAGGGAAGAAGTAAAAAATGACAATATCACATGAAAGTAAGCATTATCCAACAACATCAATAACTCAAGGTTCAAATCCTCTAAATATCATGTGAAAGTAAGCATTTTGATTGATAGATAGAGGGGAAAAAATGCCTAGATACAGCATCAAACTTCCACCCCTTCACTGCAACAAATATCACATATAAGTGAGCACTTTTAATGGTGTAGAGGAAAAACTAATAAGAAGAAAAGAAAAGAAACATCACATATAAAAGCATTGCCATTCAAAACTCTAATTTTTTACTTATGCTTCAATCGCAAATTATAATTTGTAAAAATCAAATCATTCAATCTTTGATGTTGTAATCTATTTCATCTTTTGGTATGTATGCATTCAAAAAAACTCCAATTTCTTTCACAGCAAGAAGAAGAAGAAGTTTGGCTAAGAATGCGCATTATAAGAGTTTGCAATTCTAGAACAGAACCTCCATATAATGACCACCATTCATCTGCAAATAAAAAACATCTAGTTAGGTGTTAATCATATAATAACTAGAATTACCATGGACATGTTAAATAATAAATATGAATACTCATAAGGATCTAATTTTTGGGCTGCTCTCTGACATGAAGTTTTGTCAAAAGACTCTTTACGATCATGATACAAACTCAACTGCTTCATCATCACAATATAATCAATTTCTTCACTTTCATTGGACTCAAACACGTCAAGCATTGCATCCATTAACCTTTTCTTGTGAATAAAGCTCTCATCATACAAGAATGCAGGATTCAACAAATATGCCGTTGCATGAATATTTATCTTAAAGTGCTTATCCCATCGAGCTTGAATAATGTTTGTGTAAAGCTTGTAATAATCTTTCTTATTATTGAATGTTGCCTTGATTGCGTTTTTTGCCCTTTGCATGCCTTCATAAACATAAGGCAAAGAAGGCTTCTCATCTAAATCCATAATTCTCAACAATTTTATAAAAGCAGACACAACCTTCACAATTTCTAAGCAATCACCCCAAAAGTCATTATCTAATATGATGGCAGTAACAATTATTCTAGCTTGAGTCTTTAACAATTTATGATCTATAAAGTGCTTATCAGTCACCAAAGCTTGCAAGTTATGCTTATGCATATATATGCTATGCAAATCTTGTTACACTAGGATGTACAATTTCTTTCCAACTTGGTCTTTTCCTAAGCCATGACAAGAAGATCATATGATTATAAACAAAAACAATTATCTTTAATGCTTTAGTTGCAAGTACTGACACATTGTCGAAGCTTTTTATGTCTTTTAAAGTAAGGTTCCAACAATGAGCAGCACAAGGTGATCAATAAATATTTTTATATTTTTCCTTAATCAACTTACCACATGCTACATTATTTGTAGCATTATTAGTCACTACGTGAACAATGTTCTTGGGACCAACCTACTCAATCACTTCATAGAACAACGAGAACAAAGTCCTAGCATCTTTTACCAAATCTGAAGCATCAACAAATTTCACAAAAATCATTCCATATGTAGAATAGATTAAGAAA